AGTAAAAGCATATGATGGAAAATGAAATCAGAGAAAAATTAATTTCTAGTTTGCACCTGGTTAAGAAGAAATTTTTGTGAGAAAATTATAACAATTGACTAATTTCAAAGACATTTATTATTTTATTTTTTGAAAGAAACTAAAATTAAGTTACAATCTTGATAGCGGTTGGTTGTACAAAAAGTTTAAAAAGAAAAACTTTGAAACCTACTTTCTGGTGACTCCAACCCTCATGAGGGCAATATAAGCCACAATCCTGTAACCTAGGAGCATTTACCAAGAGCAAACACTGACAAGCCATATCGATCAACTCCCACAAGCTTAAGAACAATCCCTGATTGTACTCAGAGGCCGATTGTTCTTCAATTAATTAAGATTCTCAAAAGATCAACTCAATATACAATCTCAGAGGCCGATTGCTCTCAGAGGCCGAAATTACTCAGAGGCCAATTACTCAATATACGAAGATTCTCATATGATCAACTCAATATATATACAGAGAGAGGTGTCTGTAAATCTTCTATCTAGAGAGAGAGAGAGAGAGATACCACAGTGTAGATCGATCGCCGTTCAGAAGTGTAGATCGTCGGCCGGTGGTTACCGTCGGATGAGAGAGAGCGTTGTTGTGTTTGTTTTGTTGGGTCTGCGAAGAAATTAGGGCAAACTCTAAAGAAAAGGGGCTGAGGCGTAAAAAAAAAAAAAAAGTAGTCACGGGCGGGTCGGCTTTGCTGGGAAAAAATTGGCGGGTCAACCACCACCCGAACTGAACCCGAGAAACCTGAAAAACTGGGCCCGTACCCGTCCGTCACATGTCATGCATCCATTCATCGGAGGCCGGGTCGGGTCGAGCGGTTCTGGCTGACCGGCTGATCCACTGCACAGCAAACCTTTTGAATAGGGGTGTCCGCGGTTCGATTTGAAACGGTTTGCGGTTTGATTTGAACCCGCCCGCATGTATGCGGTTTGAGTAAAAGTCAACTCGCAACCGCCCACAATGCGGTTTGCGGTTTGTGCGGATAGGATTCGCGGTTACGCGGGCAGTTTACGAATTGAATTTTTTTTCAAATTTTTTTTGTTAAACCTTTTTTTTTTTCCCATTTTTTATCAATATTTCTTTTAGACATTTTTCCTCCCATTTTCTAAAATGCTCTAACATTAATAATTAATGAATTAAAACTTATAAAAAAAACTTATAAAATGAAAAACACAACAAAATCCATTCGTAACCTAAATAAATCATTCAAAGTCTACTTTCATCATTAACCTGCATTCATCTCAATTCGTAACTTAAACAAATCATTCAAAATCTACATTCATCATTAACTTGCATTCATTCCACATTCATCATTCCTAACCCAAATTAAAAAATCATACATTCATCATTCCTAACCCAAATACAGAAAAAAAGAAGAAGAAGCAATTCTTCATTAACTTACCTTCATCCAAAATGCAAAAAATAAAAATAAAAATAAAAATTCATTAGCTTACACTTACATTCACCCAAAACCAAAATGCAATTAAAAAAATGGGTTTTTTTGAACGGTTAGATTTAAAAATAAAAATAAAATAAAATAAAATAAAAAACCTGTGCAGGCGGGTTGGGCGGGTGCAGGTCAAACCTGCAACCCGACCTAATGTGTTTGCAAAACCGCCCATACATGTGCGGTTCGTATCGGGTATGGCAGTTTGGGCAGGTCAGATGACCCTATGCCCAGCCCTACTATTAAGAATATACCATGTACCAGGAAATTGTGTTATGGGTTGGGAGGAAATCATAAGAAATTGTCAATTCGTAACTTAAACAAATCATTCAAAATCTACATTCATCATTAACTTGCATTCATTCCACATTCATCATTCCTAACCCAAATTAAAAAATCATACATTCATCATTCCTAACCCAAATACAGAAAAAAAGAAGAAGAAGCAATTCTTCATTAACTTACCTTCATCCAAAATGCAAAAAATAAAAATAAAAATAAAAATTCATTAGCTTACATTCATCCAAAACCAAAATGCAATTAAAAAAAAAATTTGTTGCCAAACTTTTTTGAACGGTCAGATTTAAAAAAAAAAATAAATAAATAAAAAAAAATAAAAATAAAAATAATAATAATAATAATAATAAAATATGCGGGCGGGTTGGACGGGTGCGGGTCAAACCCATAATCCGCCCGCAACCCGAAAATTAGATAAAATTCAAACCGCACCCTACCCTAATATGTTTGCGAAACCGCCCATACATGCGCGGTTCGGATCGGGTAGGGCGGTTTGGGCGGGTCGGATGACCCTATGCCCAGCCCTACTTTTGAACACTTTGGTTTCTGGGCCCTGATGCCCATCCAACGACCCATCAGAATGGTTGAATTCTTTGTGTCTCTGCAGAGTGTGTTGGTTCACACATTTTCTTTTTGGTCTGTTTCTTTGCCTTTCGTTTTCTCTGTGTAACTTGCTGCGGAAATCAGACAAGAATTTGAAATTTTCCTGGGCATGCTAATTAGTAGCAGATTGTTCATCCTGTTCAGTTCCTTAAGTTTTGGGCCATGCCTAACAGTTTCCAGTCTCATTAATATGTCGATACTTAAAATTAAGTATTTCCTCTCTTAAGTATGCTTAATTGCTGGTATTTGGCCATCTTCTTATTCTAGGACTTAATACCACCATGACAATGCCCCCTTTTTTGTATTTGGAAAAGAGAGAGGGGGAAGAAAATAAAAGAAAGAAAAAGAATGTGGTTGACTTTTCCAATATTTATTGACTGGCATAGATTGTTGTGCTGAGATGAGAATGGTGCTTATGTAGATTAATGGATTCAAAAAGTTATTAACGGCTGATCCCCACGATTTCAATGTGGATTTCAATTCATTTATTTTCAAATCCATGGTTTCTTTAACTTCAAGCCTGCTGCCCCTTTCACTTGATTTATATTCAGTGGCTTTCCATAGTTGCACAGCTTTTGTGCTACATCTGTTTCGGTTGTGTTTGCTTAGCTCCTACTTTTCTGGTCTCCTGTTTCATAATTTAATTGAGGTTCACTCTGCCATTCCAGCCTCTTTTTTTTTTTTTTTTTTTTTTTTTTTTTTTTTTTTTTTTGCAAGTTAAAGTTGTTTACGGGTTGTTGTTTGCAATATTGTAAGTAAAGGAATATGCTAACCTGTTTTCATGCTTACAAAATTTTGATATAAATGATATGGTTGATTCAGAGAATTATGTGTTCTTTGAAAGTACTTAATAAAACCAAGTAGTTGTGATTTGAGAGATTGAGAAGATAGATTATAGACATAAGTTGTCCTCAATGCTACTGATAGATAGATAATCGAACATGCAGGTATTTTCATGGACTTAAACCTGATGTGGGTGAGCATAGTTTCTTCTCTGAAGCTTCAGGAAGCAATAGGGATCTCGAAATGGATTCACCACCGGTAGCTGTAGACAACACGTGGCCACTAATGCCATCTCGAGTGTCCCTATTTCCCACATCGAAAGCAAGTGACAACTCCATGATACATCAGAATGATTATTCTCCACCTCATCCTCGACATTCATTTTTCAGCAGCAATGACTTTGGCACGGGAGGAGAACTTGTCAAAGAGGAGGGTGGTCATACTCAATGCCTTCGACCTTTCTTTGATGAGTGGCCAAAGATGACAAGGGATACTTGGTCTGGTCTTGAAGATGAGAGATCAAACCAGACCTCATTCTCCACCACTCAACTCTCAATTTCCATCCCAATGGCTTCTTCATCTGACTTCTCCACCGCAAGTTCTCAGTCTCCGCATGGTTAGTTTTAAATTTTAGTGACTTTTTTTTTTTAATTTTATTTTTTTGCCTTTTTTTCCTGCAGATCTCCTCAATCTTTATCTCACTGAATTTAGGTGGTTGCTATATATATAATATATATATTGTGGTGCAGATAGTTGAAAGAAGAATGTTTTTATTTTTTTGTTCCCAAGGATGGATGGATGGATGGATACCACCATTTTGAAGCAATATATATTTATATATATATGTATGTATACAATTAAGTTCTGCTGCTGCCTGCCTGGCCTTTTGAGATGTACTTGCTTGCTTCCTTCCTAATGAGGAAGAGTCACCAGTTCCTATTCCTATTCCTATTCCATGCGTCTCCTAGAGATATCTTTGTTTTTTAGCATGTGAGTTTTGCCATATGTTTTGTGTACAAGTAGTACATTTGCAAACTCTTCGAGCCTTAGCTATATATATAAGGTGCTGGTACCGATTAATAAAACAGACTCGGGGCCGTTTTATATGATAGAAATCCACATCTTTAGTGGTTTGTCTGCAATAGGGGAAAACAGACTCGGGGCCGTTTTATATGATAGAAATCCACATCTTTAGTGGTTTGTCTGCAATAGGGGTGAGTAACGGATATACCGACAATGGCGGCTCCAGGAATTTTAATCAGGTATTCATTAAGTAACTTAAAATCTAACAACTGTATTAAAAAAACAAATATAAAAGAGAACTCTAATATATTAATATTAAAGTTTTGACAAAAAACAAAACTTGTGATTAGAAAAAATATTACAATTGCCATCAAAACAACTTGCAATTAGATAAAATATTACAATTGCCCTCGACGAGTTTTCATATTTTGAAAACGTTGCATAATCTCCTCATTATCAATGCTATCAAATACATCTCTTTCAATGTATGTAACCAAACAATCATTCATCCACTGATCTCCTATTCGGTTATGCAAATTACTCTTTATATACTTCATTGTTGAAAAACTTCTTTCCACTGTTGCTGTCGCGACAGGTAGAGTCAATGCTAATTTCACAAGCAAATAGACTAATGGATATATCACATGTTTATCTGTCTCCACCAACTTTATAGCAAGATCACCAACTCCTTTAAGTTATAAAAAGTCTTCACTTAAGCGCATATCAACAATGTAGTTTTGAAGTTGGATGTCAAGGACCATTAAATTAAGCGCATATCAACAATGTAGTTTTGAAGTTGGATGTCAAGGACCATTAAATCTGTTGCAGAAAAATCATATGGATAAACTTTGCAAGACGAATCAACTTATGCTTATCAAAAGCAAAGAATGATTTACTAGGATTCAAGCAAGCCATACAAAGAAGTAACTCAGTATTTGCTTCTGAAAAGCGATTGTTAAGTTCTTGAAGTTGCATATCTAAGACTGTGTAGAATAGCTCAACTTGATAATGATGTAAATTTGCAATTTGTAGAGCTTTGCGTCGTGGCAGCCCACTAACTACAAATATTTCATCCATATTTGGAATAGAAATCTCATGTTTGTTACAAAATGAAGACACTTCAGTCAATAAAGATTCCCATTCATCATCTCTCATCGTCTACAATCATTGCTTAGATACTTTAACAAGTGTCATAGCATTGACAATATCTTGATTTTTCTTTTGCAATGCTAACGACAACTCATTTGTAATCCCTAAAATATTTTTCATCAAGTATAAAGTGAAGGCAAATTCAAAAGATAGCATTAACTTCATGATAGAACGAGCTTCAACTCTTTGCTCGGGTTGTAAGCCATCCTCTTCAATAATCTCAAGTACATTAATCGAAGAAGAGAACATCAAAATCAAGTTGATAATTGTCCCAAAATGTGATCCCCAACGTGTATCACCAGCACATTTAAGACTAGTCTCTTGATTCAAACCTCGCCCACTTCTAAGTTCACTATTGTCTAGTGCTTCTGTTATTTTAGCAAATTGCGCATCTCTAAGAGCATCTCGTCTCTTGCAAGAGCCACCAACAACATTCACTATGTTAGCAACAGAGCAAAAAAGTTCAGCAACGTCAATGTGCTTTTTAGCAACAGCTACAAGAGTCAATTGAAGTTGATAGGCAAAGTAATGAACATAAAATGCAGATTCATTCTCCCTCAAAATTAAAGCTTTAAGACCATTGAATTCACCTTGCATATTGGTGGCTCCATCATAGCCTTGCCCTCGTAGTTTTGATATACTCAATCCATGTCGACAAAATAAGGATTCAATTGTTGCTTTAAGTGATAAAGCGGTTGTATTTGATACATGTACAATACCAAGAAACCGCTCTATAACAATGCCCTTTTTGTCCACATAACGTAGAACAACTGCCATTTGTTCTTTAACTGATATGTCACGAGACTCATCAACTAAAATTGAAAAAAACTCATTGTCCAAATCCTTTATGATAGCATTGATAGTCTTACATGCAGCAGCGTTCACAATGTCTTTCTGAATATCATGGTGAGTTAGCTTATTATTTTTCGGAGTATTCCCCAATACAACTTTATTGATAGATTCATTATGATCCGCCAAAAATTGTAGAAGTTCAAGGAAATTTCCTTTATCACTTGAATCATCAGATTCATCATGACCACGAAAAGCCAACCCTCGACGCAAAAGGAATCGTATGCAATCAACAGTTGCATTTAAGTGAGCCCGATATTCAATTTTTTCTTGATTTGACTGCTTAAGAAAAACACTTTGAATGTGTTGCTTTTGCTTCATAAGATCTTCACACTTCTTCACAGTTTGGTTGTGAGCACTATTAACACCTCCAACGTGAATTTGTAACTTGTTTTTCATATTCCAAATTTTAAATCCCTCTGTCACAAAAGTATCACATCCATTTCCTAAATCGAGCCTAAACAAGTAACAACATAAACAAAATGCTGCATTTTTTTCAATACTATATTCCAACCAATTCTTGTATTCTTTAAACCAAGCAGAATTAAATCGACGCATAACTCCACTAATATCTCTTTGAGGGAAATTGTGGCTAAGAGGTTGACAGGGTCCTTTTTGTAAATATGTTCTTCTTATTTCGTCCCTATCATTAGGATGATATGACAAAAATTTTTATCGTAATCCTGGATCAGAAGGAAGGTTGTTCAAGTCAACACGAATTCACTTCAAAGAATCTTGAATGTAACTATCACCACAAGTTTCTTGGGATTGAGATGAATCTTGTACAATAGTTGATTTTCTTTTCAGAAATTTGTCCATAATTCGAGAACTAAATAAAAGAGTAGGATGCACCTAAAAATATCCACACAAAAAATAGAGCTATCTAAATAAACCATAGAAAAAGAATAACTACAAGAGTATAAATATATTGATTATAAAATTTCAGCTCCTATTTAATTTTTAAAACAAATAAAGTGAAGAAACTTAAAAAAATATTATACCTGATGACAACAAAGTATAATCCCCAAATATTATATTAACATGCATAACTGTAAAATTAATTATATATGGATGGAAGGTTTTGTTTATAGTATCAAGTTTAAATAAATTTTAATATTATAGAGATAAAAAAATAATACCTGACGAGATATAATTCCCAAATTTCTTTTTGCCTTTTTCTTAACAATCAGTCAGCAACAGCAAAGCATGACAGCAACCACTTCATCTTCATTCAATACCAACATCCATGATCCATATTCCATGGGCAACAATGAAAGACAGAGGGGGACCACCCACAGAAAGAGAGAAGGGGGGGACTGCGAAAAGAGAGGGAGAGATTGAGAGAGATAAAACGACAGCAGCGTTGAGCCTCCCCCAAGCAGCAGATTCGTGCCCTAACTACACTTTTTGCCCTAACTAACTACACTTTTTGACTTTATTCTTCCAAGCAGCAGATTCGTGCCTATATATAATATATATATATATATATATATCTCATTGCAATTCTTTTGGGTTTTATTATTTGTTTAGGCAAATGGGCTAAGGGGCTAAGGGGCTAAGTGGGCTAGAGGGTTATTTGTTTTGGCCAATGGGCTAAGTAGGTAAGTGGGCTAGAGGTTTCATTATTTGTTTAGACAAATGGGCCAAGTGGGTCAGAGGGGTATTTAACCATCTTAGATTGGGTATTCAAATTTTGGATTGGGTATTCAAAACTAAACTAAACCCAAAAAATATATATATATATATTAAAATTTCAAATTTGAGGGTATTCAGCTAAATACCCTGTGGATGCCGTGGAGCTGCCCCTGTATACCGATCAGCCTAAACCGACTGAACCGAACTGATTCGTCGCGTTTTGGACGGATGCATGATAATAAGTAGACGGTTGCGGATTGATTTTTTTCAATCCGCTTAATTTTGGACGGATGGCGGATTTGAGGTTCTTTTGGCCACAACCGAACCGCCAAACCACGAACACCTCTACTAATTTGTATGACTTTATGCTTTTAATTTGTTTAGATATTCTGTTTGTGTTTTCAATTGAAAATGAGTTTAAATATTATATTGAATATGTTCTGTTGAAAAAGAGTTTTCAACTTAAATATATTTTTTAAATTAAAAAAATAAATGTATTATTTATCTATATTTTTTTATTTTTAAATCTAACTCTAAAAATAAAAAATAAAAAATATATATACTGGTTGGTTTTTGTTTTCAAAAACAGATATAGATGTAACAATACAAAAGTATACAATTTCTACTACTGCTCTATTTATAGCTTTGGTGGTTTGAATTGTTTTTATATTTTGAGAATCACAAATGGTAATATTTTATGTGGACGAGGGTTTGTAAATGTGGATGAGATAGACAGTGATTGTAATATTTTAAAATTTCAAATTTTCTCTCTTTGGATGAGCGAAGTAGTGATTTTAATACTTTTTTAAGTCATTAACTATAATACTTTTTCTTTTTTTCTTTTTTTTTTTGAAGAAGTGCATAAGTTGAATTATGTTGAAAATTTCTAAAATTTTAAACCGCCAAACCGATTCGCATCCATCCGCCAATCCACTCAATCCATATCCGTCGGATTGGCGGACGGATGCGGATTGATTTTCTCCAATCCGCCAATCCACTCAAAGTTTCGTGACTACAACCGACCCGCGCCCACCCCTAGCCCGCAATTGGCAAAGTAAAGTACAACTTCTTCACTTTTTTTTTTTCCTTTCTTCTTTTTTATTTTATATTTTTCATATTTATATGGGATTTGCTTCCGGGTAGTTAAGTCATTAAAAAATGTTTTCCAATTGGTATAGCAACTGTGCAAAGTCCTCCGTGGTATTCTTCCTTTGGACGGGCTACCCACCTGTGGTCAGATATTTGTTCAGAATTTTTGCTGGGTTGTGAGAGAATGTTGCCTGCAATTTCACCTTCTTTTTTTTCTTGTCTGTTTCTTTCTTTCTTTCTTCGGCCTCAGAAGCAATTCATAAGCAAGCAAGCAACCATAAAAAAAAATAAATAAATAAATAAGATAGGGAGGAAAATTGGTGAGAGGATGGCTTCTATTGGCCTGCTCCCAACAGAATCATTTCTTTTAATAAATATTGTTATATAAATTAATCAATTTTATTCTTGCATCCATTATATCATTAAAGTGGGTATTATTTTTAATTTTAAATTCACACTTATCATCCGAATTGAATACCTTGTAGGCTTTATAATAAAGGTTATTTATGTAAAAAAATAATCAATAAAATATCGAATTAATTTGGTACAGTGGTATTATAAGATCTTAAAAATATATGAATAACTTTCAATATTTAAACTTGAACCATTCATTTTATTAAATATTATATCTGATATTTATATGAATGTGAGTGTACACACTCTTACTGAATATGTACATTCTTTCATGTGAACATTCACGTTACATTATGCCGCAATTCCGATGAAATATAGTGACGCCAATGTCCTTATGTTGCAATTCCAATGAAATATTTTAGGTTTTTTTTGGGTTAAAATAGGCTAAAATAATTAATAAAATAAAATATTATATATAATTCATAATCATTTCTTTTTTTTTCTCTTATAAATATCATATCCAATTACAAAAAAATTAATTTTTTTCTCAAACACAAATATTTTAACCTATTAAAATAGTCAAAAATTAAAATAACCTACTAAAATAATCAATTCTTAAACAAGGCCAACACCAATGTCCCTTGTGATTGAAGGAATGTCCCTTGTGATTGAGGGAAGGAACGAATGTTGTATTTTGAAATTTGTGGTTTCTCTTGATTATAGTAAAAAATCTAGGGATTTTGTTTTTTGGGAATATTATTTATATATATTTTGAATGGTTTTGAAACAAGTTTATAGTAATTACTTGTTTACTTATTAAAATAGTAGCAATTAAGTCATTTCACATCAAATACAACTTGAAGATGAGAAGTTTTACTTACAGTTACACAATACTTTTAGCTCATTACACCCTTTATTTTAATATTTTTTGTGTGGGTGAAAATCTGACCACACTGCAATCTTAATATCCAACTGGAGAGCACCGGCAGAATAAATAACACCTGACTAACCTGCAAAAGAAAGAGAAGACTCCGGTGGTGGTTCGCCACCCGGAGGTACTCCGACGATCAAGTCAGTACTCAATATCTCTCAAAGATAATCAATAATGCTAAACTCACTAGCTTGAGCATAAAAGGACATATCTTAGACCCATGGGGTGCCTCTTTTTTATAGCCAACTCAATCCTAGTCCTAATGGAAGCCTAACTCCAATGGACTTAGGATTACTGCTAATCTTGGACTCCCAATAGGATCAGGATAAGCTCTTTAAGAGTCTCATCTTTACCCAAACTGAAGTCTCGTCCCATTCTAGGACTCTTGTTCTTTATCCGCTTATCTCGGATTCCGGTATTCTCGTTGATAACCTCGGCCTAACCGAGATCATCTCGACATCATGACCAGAACACGTGGCACCTCGGCTGGCACTTCGGGGACACCTCGGCCATGTGTTGTCATTCAAAAATTATGTCCCCACAACTACCCTCTAGGTTCTATTACCTCGGCATCCTGAGGTGATGGAACCTATATCATTCCCTCCATTTAGCACGTCGGCTAAGCTTGCTTCATCATCTATTGGCAAAGTCAGAACTCTTTTGCTCAATATGATCGAGACCTATAATCTGCTTTCATCAATACTTTGGAACCAACAACCAAGTTCGTCCAAGTTTTTCAACCGAAATCGTCCTCTTAGCCGAGGTATATGTTTCATTAAGTCAAAAACTCCAAGTGTTTCACCACGCGTATGAACTGGCATGTACAATATTTCAACCGAAACCGTCATGCATCTTTCCTTTACGGAGCTGTGTCTGATATGCGTCATTAAGTCGTCTCGCACTTACTTGCGCTGTCTGACAAGCACGTCGTCTCAAGCACCATAATTGCCATTTTGCCGCCATTTCATACTTTTGATCAAAATCAACCCTCTCAAATCTTTCATTTGCTGCTTTTGCGAAGCTTTCTGCAACTAGTTTCACTTTCTTCCTCTGGTGAGGCTTTTGCTGACCCTTTCCAATTGCTGCCGTTGTCTTATTTCGGCGATCCTCATACCGGATTCACTTTTTCTGGTAAGCCACTATTCCTCCTGGTTTCAATTTTTATTGCTCTTCAAGAGTTTTTGCTTCATTACTTGTTGCCATTGCTGTTTTGCTCAAGTATTCGATTTCATGAATCATGTATCTCAGTGTGTCTATTTCATGATTTTGTTTTTGCCCAAGTCTTGAATACACATACTGTTCACAACTTTCTTGCACTTTTGCCACTGTTCTTGGCCTTGTACCCTTGCATACACTCTGTGGGGACATAAAATTTTGAATAACGACACGT